ATTCAACCACCCCATGGTGGTTGTAATTCGTTTCCTTTAATATAATAAAAAATACGGTAAAACGAGATAATCTTGTTTGCATAAGAATGGCACACTACAATAACATTTCAACTGAGGTGGCACATTGATGCAATTTGCAGTAAAACCTATAGTTCAAGTGATATTGGTCCCCTTTATATATGATTAATGTTAGACAGATCACATTCAAGGAATTGACATAACATATATTACTTGCTACATCGTGTATAGTACAAAAATATAAATTCCTCAATTCCCTAATAATTTTCTTTATTTATGTTTTTTCCAACATCACTTGAGGTAAATAATTTTGTGTGTTTTTTCATATGTTCCTTTCACATAGTTTACTAACAGTTTATGTGTTTTTCCATCTAGGTAATGAGTTTGAGTTAAGCATGACATCTGATGACTTCATATGAATGAGAAATACATCACCAGTCCATTTCGATTAATAATGAGTAATGTGTCCTTACCTGAAAAATTTTCAACAAGGCCTCATCAACTCCAAATATAATATAACTGATTAGCTCAATGCTGTTTTTTTTTCAAAAAAAAAAAAGAAAAAAAAGGTTGGTAACTTCACCATGGCAGTTCACTCTTTCGAAGATCAAAAAGACTCACTGGTTAGCTCAATGCTCTTTGATTAATTGCTTGTTAACATATCTTTCACATGAGATGCTCTTTATAACAAGGACATCGAGATGTAAGAATTTGCTTTTAAGGGTTGCTATATCGATATAAAGCTTCACAAAAACTTCATTTTATAATTAAAAACGCTTAAAGTCCCGTTTTAAAGCAAAAAACTCATAAACTCAAATGTTATTGTACCAACTTTTCTTATACTCGACTATTATTGCACAATAAATTTAGTGTTTTTTTAACTCTTAATTTTATAATGATGCGTTTGGATGAGAAATTTAAAAGTTTCATAAACTTATAACAAATTTATTACGATGCACCTATAAAATTAGACAGAACAACTTGAAAGTGACTAAATACAAAATTTTGAAATGACATATTTTAAGGTGTCAATTTGAAAAATCTTTTATTTAGCGTTTTTGGTAACACGTACATTTGTAATGTTTTTATAGTAAATTTCTAGTGCTTGAGTAGTTTATGTTGCTAGTGTTTTTATAATGCATTTTTAACGATTGAGTCTAATTAAAATATCTTAAAATTTTAAAATTCCTCATCCAAACATAGCACAAGTGCGACGTGATTCACTGCTAGCAGCACCAGTTGTTTGAGAATAAACAAATTAACTATTTTTTAATTGTCAAACATCAAAAGTATTCATCCAGTAATACTGTAATAGTACTGTTGTCCCTTTCTATATTCACACCGTTAGGAATCATTTTTCTTTTTTTTTTTTGTACAACCCTCAAAAAGATACTCTCTCTCCAAATTCTTCTCTTGTTCTATCTATAAATACTCAACATGGTTGCTTCACATTTTGCTCATCTCTTGACAGAGGCCAATAAGTTCCAAGAAACAAAGGCCTTTGCATTTTTCATTTTTCAAAATAATGGACAAGTTCAAATTTGTTGGAAATGGGATGATCAGATTGCCTCCTGGTTTCCGATTCCAACCAACAGATGAAGAGCTAGTTTTTCAGTACCTGAGATGCAAAGTCTTCTCATGCCCACTTCCTGCTTCCATTATTCCTGAGATCAACGTTTGCATGTATGATCCTTGGGATTTGCCAGGTCAGCACACAATACATATATATATCACTTCGCTTAGTTCTGAATTTTTTTGGACATTTTTTCACTTATAAAAACTGACAGTTTATGTGTGGTATGTTTCCAGGTAATTCGGAACAAGAGAGGTATTTCTTCAGCAACAAGGAATCAAAATACCGGAATGGAAACCGAGCCAACAGGGTGACAGGTTCCGGTTACTGGAAAGCAACCGGCGCAGATAAAAAGATTGTATCTTCAAGGAGGAATCATATTGTGGGAAAGAAAAAGACTCTAGTTTTTTACAGAGGGAAGTCTCCACATGTTTCTAAGACTGATTGGGTCATGCATGAATATTGCCTTGTGAATACAGAAACTACAGCTTCCATTCACACAACTGAGGTGAGTTTAAAACGAGGTTTGTCACAAACTCAATAATTCAGGAGGATATTTGACATGAACATGTAACATCAGTTGACACTCTAACTAATTTTATGCAGAATGCTTTAACGCCAAAAGGAAATTGGGTTTTGTGTCGGGTTTTTTCTAAGAAAAGAAGTGGCAAGATAGATGAGGAGATTGTGGTGAATTACAACAGCATCGAAGTTAACAATAATGCGAATCCTGCATCTTATTCCTCCTCTTGTTCAAGTTCAACTGGGATCACAGAAGTAACTTCCCCAAGTAAAGAATGTGGTGAAGAAATCAGTAGCTGCCCTAAATTTGATCATGTTAATTAAATGTAGCATCGTTCTTCTTGTGTCGTGTTCGATCATGAAAGGAAATGAATCTCTTTTTCTTGGAAGATATTAAAGTACTTCCAGAAACTTTAGTGTTCTGAGAGATTGGTGGATGTAAAAGTTGGTAACGTTTATAATACTGAACCCGATTCTCAGCATCCTCCTTTGGAGAAAAAATTAATATAGCTAGGGCTACCCAATTAGGGCATCTTTTATACCGGGTGCAGGACCACAATACCGAGCGTCTAATATTCATGTGAAAGCTGCCCTAACAATTCATGACGTTCTCCAGATACCCTCACACAAGTTTTAAAAGCATCTCAAAATAATGCATCAAATAAGACAAGGGTATTTTCATCATTTTAATAGTATTTTTTTTAATAATAAAATTTTTGGTATTTTTTTAATTAGTACTTTATAATAGGCTAGCAATAATGTGATTCAATCTTTTTATTTTTAAACACGTTCAAAACATCTTAAGAGACCTGTAATGTCGGTTATAAAAAATGTCTTTCTCACACGGATAATAATGTGATTAAATAAGTTATCAAATGATTGCTTTTTTTTTTTTAAACAAACGATATTATCTATACTAAGGGGGATGAGGGTGGGCTTAGCCTTACAATGGGCTAGCAATAATGTAATTCAATCAGTTTTTTATTAAATATTATTTTTTCTATTTTTAAACACGTTCAAAACATCTTAAGATGCATGTAATGCCGGTTATAAAAAAAAATAATAATGTGATTAAATTAATTGTCAAATGATTTTTTTTTAAACAAACGATATTATCTACACTAAGGGGGGTGAGCTTAGCCTCACAATGGGCTAGTAATAATGTGATTCAATCAATTGTTTATTAAATATTATTTTCTCTATTCTTAATGTAAATTCTATAGGGACCGATTTTATTATTTGAATTCAGCTACTTTAATTGGTTTATGAGGGGTTTCTTCTAGCATGATCTAACATTATTCATTTACTTCAAATATTTGACTTTCCTTTTGTCAATTTACGCATATAAATACATTTAAAACGTGTAAGTCGCGCGTAGCACGCCGTGATTCAAATAATGCAGAGGCATTTTCATAATTTTAACAGTGTTTTTTAAATAATTAATTTTTTTGTACTTTTTTTTAATTAGTACCTCATAATAGGCTAGCAATTATGTGATTCAATCACTTGTCCATGCAATATTATTTTCTCTATTTTTAAACACGTTCAAAACATCTTATGAGACGTATAATGCCGATTATAAAAAAAGTCTTTCGCACGCGGATAATAATGTGATTAAATTAGTTGTCAAATGATTTTTTTTTTTAACAAACGATATTATCTATACTAAAAGGGAGAGGGATGAACTTAGTCTCACAATAGACTAGCAATAATTGAACGTGGGGTCTCGGCAATGTAATGAGGCATTCTCGTAAAAAGATAAGGGGACGGGCTTATTGCTACAGGAATCTCTAGCTTTTCATTTCAAAGGTAATTGATTTTTCAAAGAGGTCAGGATGATAAGAGAGAGAGAGAGGGCTAAAAAAGAAGCAAAGCATATATATCAACTTTGCATAAAGAAAATCCTTTTTTGGAGAGCACCGGGTCCAAAATGAAAGCTATGCCAGCAGCTAGAATCACATGACAAAACCTTTAGTTTTTATTCCGAGAAAAAAAAAATCCAAACTTGAGATTTCTTCTTCTCTAAATAATTATATTTGGATGGGAATTTGGTAAAACCGGATTTGCACCATCAGCCCATGAATTCTTGGCCGTTGGATATGCACCATTTTAGCTAGATGGGTATCTAATGGCCAAATGTTTTCGTTCGCCCAATTGCTGGCTGGGACGGACGTTGAAAAAGTGGAAGCTAGTCCTGTCGAGTTCTAATTTTTTAGAGGAGAGTTAATAAGACATATGTTGAAACTACTCTCTAGAAAAACAATATTCTTATTAAAATAGTTGCAAAGTTCCTTGAGTTCTTAATCTTCTTTGTTTTTTCATTCGCTCTAATGTCTAAAACTTAGTTGAGTTGTATATGTTCCGTTAATTTGAATGAGTAATAGATCATTATTTATACAAAATAAAAACTTAGAAAAGAGAGTGAAAAAAAAATAAGGAGATTTTGTAACATGGCGAAAAAATTAGCTTGATATGTCAAGAAAAGAGTTGAAGTTTTAAAGCTGAAAGTATATAATTTCTAGCTCCACTATTGACTAATTATATGACATTACATTTCCAATCAAAATGTATTTGAACGTAAAATTCGCCTCTAACAGAATGCTTTGCCCTAATTAGGGTTTAGAATTGAGATTTTGTTGAAGCTGGCAACACACTGTTGGCAGCGATAAACATGAGCTGACATACATTGTTGCCAAGCACTGCGGATTACTCTTTCAACATTCGAAATACATGGCCCCAAAACAAAAAAAAATTCCACAACCACAAAATTACAAATATAGTAAGTTTGTTTGCAAAACCCAATATTTTTCTATAATTAACCAAACCAAATCTCAAACCATATTTTTACAGTTAATCAAACCAAATATTTGCATTATTATTATTTTTTGGTTGCCTAACTGTCAAGGAACATGAAGTTTTATCCTATAACTAATTAACTGCCTTTGACCCATCGCCTTCATATTCTCCCTTCTAGCTCATAATTTTCCAAATCTAATTATCTTCTACTTCTCTTCTTCCTACCGTTTGTGGCCGTAATCCCCCATTGTTGTCCTCTCCAATGGGTGACCAAAGTTCAAAGCTCACCCCAGAAGCCGAGGCTGTGCCTCCTAGGATCCTTTCCCTCTTGCAGAGACGCTTCGAGGAGATGAAGAGCCGGTCCAAGGCACGAAAGCTAAAGGCCGCTAGTACTCTCTCCAAGAAACAGCTACTTAAGGACTGTGCACAGGAGGAGGTTGATAACTCTCTCCTTCATACGCCGCAGTCTTCACCAGAGTCTGACAAAATAACATGTCCGAAGATACCACCAACATTGGAGAACAAGTCCAAGGTTGCACCAATCTCGCCGGAGTGTGACAAAGGTACAAAACAGGTTGATGATGAGGACCAAAAGAAGGAGCAAATTAAGAGAGATGGGACGGAGTGTAGTGTTGAAGATCATAAAGAGCCAAAGAGTGTGAATGTGTATATAGGAGGGGTTTTTGCAATGGAGGATACCACAGAGGGAGAGGAAGAGGACGAAGATAATGAAGATGGTATGCAGAGAAACAGAGAATTTTTTATGTGTCCCGCGTCGCCAAGTTTTAAAATTTATTGCATGGAAGCTCTGGAAATTGAAAATGATAGCAGTAAGTTTTTACACGGAAAATTGGATGCAACTTTTTTGTAGCACATTAAGTATTTGAGAAAAAAATATGAACATTTTTGGAATTGATGCATACAAATGCAGGCAAATACGACAGCACAATGGATGAGGATATCAAGCACAAGAAATCGCCAAGTGCTGCGTCTGCAGACTGCAGTGTTGATAGCCTAGTGTCAACGACTGATCACCACGATGTAAATATCTTACGAGAAAAAAATGGACTAATTAAGCAGATAAAGTTTGTGATCTTGTTCTGAAATGTTTCATGTCATGTTTCAGGGCCAGGTAACAAAGACAAAGAAGAAAGGAAGGAGAAGGAGAAGAGTACAAAATGGATTCGGAGTAAAGAATCTATTGCACATTACAGGATGCTACTACCTAGGTTGCAGTGGTGGCCACGACAGAGCCACCTATCTGGCCGAGAAATCTGCAGCCACTTGATCACGCAGGGAACTGTGAGCTTGATATACATTGTTGATCCATTCCGTGACAGCGGTTGGGGTCTAGTGTTTCTCTAACATGATATCAGAGCTGCAGTTCCAAGAGGCCTTCGGTTCAAAATCTCCAAGCCACCACACCTAATCACTTGTCAAGTTAATTAACCTGCAGGGTGGGGGTTGCACCTATACAGTCGTGCAGGATGAAGCTGCATGTAAGAGAATGCGTTGGCTTGAGTGATTTTCGCTAGGAATGAGCAAGAAGAGTGATAGTTATTATTTTCGTACTTTTCCTTCGGTCTCTTTCTTATTCTTGGCCGTGAGATTTTCATTTTCCTGCAATTCTGGATCATGACTCTCTAATTCATGTCCTTCAGACCAAAATTTGTGTCCCAATGTAAATCAGTAGAGATGTACATTGTGATTACAGTTGGAAAAGCTCTCTTGCCTGATATATATGCATTGGGACGTTGTTCTTAATTATGTACAACAAAAAAGATCAAACCAAAAAAAAAAAAAAAAAAAAAAATTGAGAAGTACTTAACTAAATGATCACAAATAGGATCAAATTGCTCGTCAGAAGCTGAAGACATTAGTTGATTAAGCTACCTTTTAGCGAATATTTAAAACTGCTAAGCACAATGAAACATTATAGTAAACAGTAATTAACGTAATGAAAGATCGATCACTTGCTCAAAGGCCAGCTTGATCAGCTCAGAAAGTAGCAACTCAATCATACTCTTTAATTCCTCCAGACTACTCCATCTCCTTGCAGAACCATAAAAGGCAAAATGTGTGTCAAGAAGACTTCCTGACAATATTCCGTTCTTCCTAGCGAGATGGTTTGACAGGCAAGAACCTGGAATTACAAGATCTGTAATCAAGGACGGAGCCAATGAAGGCTCACTGGGGGCATATGTCCCCACTCAAGTGATTCGTTTGTTAAGTTGCAGACTACAATTATATAATACACACTCGTTATTTTTGAAGAAAATATATGTACCTAGTATCCAACATACTTTCATACTGCGTATACTCCATATCAAATATTATATAAGCAAAAGTGCTTTTATTCTATTATTCAAACCAAAAAACCTCACTCTTGTGTAATTATGTACTAATATTTTTCTTATCACTTTGCCACTTCCACTACTACACTGAAATTTTTGTAACATTGGAATTGTGATACATTATCATTTGAAATCATCCATATTTTCATATTAGTTATAAGCTATACTATAATAAGGTTTTCTTAATTGATTTTCAGGGTTGCCCCTACTAAAAGAAATTTCTAACTCCGTCCCAGTTTGTAATGGTTACCAAGAAAGAGAAATGCATTAGCAAATGCAGCAGGCAAGAAATCAAGAACCCCTGATTCTACTTGTCCAGGAGAATTGTTTCCCTTGATGGTCAAGAAGAAAATCTGCCTTAATTATAAAGGGAAAGTTTGTCACCATCTCTGTCTGAAAGAATGCGTGGATCCTGGGTGATGAGTTTCGTGCTCCGCCAAGACATTCGCCAATGGGAAATACGAGCGTTATCATTTGCTCATCCATCCCCATTCTCCTATCCACTCTGAATTCATCCTTGACAGGAAACTTCTGCTTCCGAATACAATAACTGCATAATTTTCTGAGCTCACTGACCTTTATCCCTATTGGACTTTCAAATGTTTTGTCTTAAACGGCTTGGTGAAGATACTCAAGCAAAGGGCTGGCTACATGAGTTGATTATATTTGATAAATTTTCAATTAATTTAGCACTTTTTCTTCCTTGAGAATCTGTCCACTAATTTCCCCCCTTTCATCAGTTTCCAAGGATTAAGTGGAAAACCAGCTGCTTCCTCTGCTCACATTTCAATTTATGAAATTTTCGTTGTACATTATCTTTAATCTATCATTTCTACGAATTCGAAACTGAATTTTTTTTAATTAGTTAGCAGCTTCTGAAGAATACAAAGCAAAAACTTAGGAAACTAATTCAGCAATCATAAAACGGACCAATTAGTAAACTGCAGAAGGTTGCAAAAATACCAGATAAGAAAACATGGTTCATGAGTTCATATGATAGTATAAGCAAATCCAGTTGTTCAAAATAACATGAGAATCCAACGGTAAAACGTAAAAACCCACACAACCAAAACAGCATAACATAGAGTTCACGTCATCTGCGTAGAGAGACTATTATTATTGAAAAGAAACATATCTAGATAGAAGGGTAGGCAGAATTCAGAAACTCCGCATCCTCGACAAAGATCTGCAGATTCTTCGACTTCATCAAGAAATCAACAGCTTCCTCATTGAATTCTAGCACAAATGCCAACTTGATGAGTTCCGAAAGTGCAGGTATATGTTCAGTGCACTCCCACAGCACACACTCAGATATTGCTTCAGCAAAATAGGTAGCAAACTCAATGGTACTCTTCTGTCCGCCAGATTTGTCCATCTTCTGGATGAAAAATTTGGAATTCTCCCTGTCCCACCGTATCTTTTGTGTGCCTCTCACATTCAAAACTTCCCCAGAAGATAGTGGCAGATCATAGCTCACAGTGATTGGTTCAGGTGTCTCCGCAACAGCAACGTCTACAAGACCTTGGACAGCTCTCTGCCTCTTCTCTACTTCCATCTCAATGGGAGGACCAGCTAGAAACCCAAGAATCAGCCTCAGCAGCGCTTTCCCGATCAATTTCTTCGTTGGAATCATCAGTAGTTCAACATCATCTGCGATGGATGATTCTACCTTCTGCACAGATTCTGAAATAGTGCAAACACCAATTTTCTTGTAGATTTCAAGCAGCCTAGTCCGAGGCAAGGAAGCCAAGCTTGGCTGAGGGTGCCAAACAAACATTGACTGTGAACACTGTTCGAAAAGATACTGCAGCTGAAGGTCATCCGCAACGAAAACATCCTCCTTGTTGCACAACAAAATTCCACCTGAGCCAGAATAAACCGGTACTTTCACCACGGCATCAGCAAGACTTTTCTCCATCTTCAAATTCCAGTGCTTCGAAACATAAAGCCAGAACATGCAGCATTGATCATGAGACAATCCGATTTCAGAAATTTCCCAAACTTTCCAGAGATTCAGGTAATCATCAAAAGAAGGATGGGATCTTATTCCAAAAGCAGAAGAAAAAAAACCAAACAACTTTTGCTCATAGTGTTTCTCCAAAACAGTTAGCAGCGAACCAAATAGACCATCCTTGTCATACAGAACACATTCATCTGCACTAACCCACTCACCATTTTTATTTTCTTTCGGAACCCAGATCCTTCCGGGAGCCTCCCCATCTGTCAGTGGCACCCACTTAGAGTCACTCAAGTAACTATATAATCGAACAAATGTCGAAAACTCATCATGTAGATCAAGGTGCCTTGCAATCAAGGCACATCCCTTTTTGACTTCAACAATCACCCCAATTGCAGCAAGCTCCTTTCTGTAGGTCGTAATTTTAGAACCATAGAATTCTTCATCAATGAAAGGCCCATCAGTTTGCTTTAAACACGATTTTGAATCAAACAACAAGCACTGGTCAGGAGAGTGGTAACCAACATGAGTCTTCAACCATGCTCGAGAAAGTTTTCCCCTGAAAGCCTCCGGAAGGGAGTAGGCTTTCTCATGCAAGAAAATCTGTAGGCATTCAAGCAATGCTAGTGCACTTTCTCGAGAAATGCAGGTTGGATCCTGAGGAAGATACAGACAAGATTCCACAAACTTGACTCCGTCCTTGAATTCCACAACCACCCCCAAGCTCTTCAGTTCGTTCTTAAATGCATGAATGTTCTTTCCATAATGATTTTCAGAATCATCAATGAATGGGAGAAGACATATGGAAGAGATGGAATCCCACTCGGGACCAGAGAGAATGCACTGTTTGGGAGATCTATAGTCACCAAGGCGAGTACGCAGCCACTTCACCTCGCGAATGCAGCTCTTAAGATCTGCAGGAAATTTAAATGGAGTTACATTCAGTGTTCTGTAACACAAGAGAATTGATGCAACATTTTCTTTTGAAATGGAAGTCGAAGATGCATGCTTCTTGAAATAACGGGCAAATACTTTTGCAGCATTCTCAAAATCAACCACCACCCCAGTTTTCTTCAACTCATTTCTGAAGGAAAATATTCTGTCTCCATAGAAATCCTGATCAATCAATGGGACATCACTGAAGACCTGAAGAATGCAGCCCCAACCCTTGTCAAACAGAAGCTTTCCTCTGGACGTTTGTAACCAGTTCTTGTCATTAGGCAATTCGATCCTTTCAAAGCACTGACAAGTTTTTCAGATGAGCTCGAAAGACACATGCATTTAAGCATTAATAGAAGAACCTCAGGTGTCCAGGAAGTCAAGCAAGAATGTGACTTCAGGTTGTCAATGATCAGTTGGTAGTTTTTGCTGAAGGAAACCGCCACACCAAGCAACTCAAGTTCTGTTTTGAACTGACAGATTTCTTTACCATAGAATGCTTCATCTATGAAGGGAATGGAACTAATTTGCGAAGCAACTGTCCACTCATCATCCGACAAGACAGATCCAACCGGAGACCTGAAGCCAAGGGAAGTTTTAAGCCACTGACCACCTTTAATGCTGCTGATAAAATCGTCTGGTGGAAGAAGTTTCTCTCTCAAAAATCTGATGAAACGTAGTACAGAAAATACATTGCCATGGGTTAAAGAGGAAGCAGCAGCAAGAGACATGAGATGCTTCCCCATATATTCACACGCTTCTCCAAACTCAAACCTGACTCCAATTTTTTTCAACTCCTCCTTGTATTCGCTAATCTTTCCATCATAATGACTTTGATCGATCAACGGTATATCAACAAAAACAGAGCTATTCTGCAAAAGGTTTCCCGATGATGACTTGAGAAGAAATGACTGCGATGGTGGCCTGAAACCAGGAGAACCATTCAAAGTAACTTTCAGCCAGCTACCTTCTTTTACACACATCAAGAACTTCTGAGGGATGCTAGCCTTACACATGAGCTGGCGAATCCAGTCCAAAAGCAAGAATACATTTTGCTTATTGAGTGGTGCAGTTAAAGATGATATACCATCGCTGGGAGCACAAACATTTGGGATATCCGAGGCTTTAGCATGATCTTTTAGAAACCCAAGGAGCTCCTTCTGTTGTGTAAAGCTACCAGCAAAATGACCGGAATCCAAATAGTCTTCGTTCAACTCAACATAGCCTTCTCTTCTCCACAGATTAGAGTCGGTCAATCCTGCCCATTTGCTTCCATTAGCTGGAACAAGAACTCCCCTCCTAGTGGTGGTGATGTTGCCATATTTATCCACCAACGGCATTAGTGCACACAAATTAACAGCTTCCCAAGATAAGATATATCCCTTGCTCAAAGACTGGTATAAAAAGTGGGCGAATGCAATAGCAACCTTCCGCTCACAAAGTGACTTATCAAAGAGATTGACTGCATAGTCATATATACTTACAGAACCAACCTTGACTTGGTCCGAAAGCCACTTCTTCAACGTCTCCTTCCTAGAACACAATCTGAGAGCTTCCTGTGTGATCTCTGGCATAAAGAGAACATTGGAAACAGATGCAAACTCCATGTTCCAGTCAATCAGCCATGAAACATGACAAGAATCACTTGATAAGCAAACTTTGCTTTCGCCTTTCTGGATTGCGCTTATGCTGCACAGAGATTTGTTTCGATAACGCACGCATTTTATGAGCGGTATATTCTTGATGCTGGTGCTTGAAAATTTAGACCCCCAAAATTCAGAAATGAAAAGTAAAAGCTCCAAATAGACATCTTCCAGCACCCCAGTTATAAGATTAGATGTACCCCGGATGCATGTTGCATACCATTCATTGTTCACAGCT